AGCCCCGAGAACTATTTTTCAAGTTTCGTATAACTGACGCACAGAAAACAATAAAAAATAAGTTTTTCATTAAATTAGAAAGGATCGTTTTGTTTTCTAAGTTTTTATTCTATTTTCATAATAAAACACTGTGGCCCCAAGGAAAAAAAAAATTCCTGGTGTGTCAGTGAGTGTGTTAAACACACATGCATTTGTTCGGGCAGTCAACAGACGGTCCCGTGCCTGCCGGCGCTGAGCACAGAGGAGCGCAGACACGAGAAACAGGGAAAGGCCCTGCCTCACAGGCCCTGCCGGGCCACTGTCGTGCAGTGTACTCGCCGACCAATGTCGTCGTAGATGGTGAGGACTCCATGAAGATCAGGGGGAGAGACATGGAGAGGGTGGAGGGCGTGAGCTCGGGACACCCCGGGGTCCAGGAAGCCTGTCCGTGAGTGTTGGCGCTGGATGGCGAGCCGGAGCCGGAGGAGGGACACGGGCAGTTGGCAGGGAGCCCGATGCTGAGGCCCCGTTGCCTTCGAGGACTCGAGAGAGGGCGGAGTGGCTGGAGAGGGGGCCGGGGACAGGGTGGGGGAGGCAGGGCGGGCAGGCGGGCAGGGGCCAGGTCACGCCGGCAGTGGCTGCAGTGGGAGGGTACTCACAGGTGTGGCGGGGAGCAGGGAAGATTTAAAGTAAGAGGGGGACGAGGTCTGATTTATGTCGCTAAGAGGCCGTTTTAGCTGCCCGGTGGAGAATGGATCGGAGGGGCAGGGAGCCTCCCCAGGAGGTGGGCACGGCCTCTTGGGGTGTTTAGAATAGAATCATTGGGACTGGAGGGCGTAGATGATCTTGAGATATCTACTTAGGAGGTGGAGCCGGAAGGCCCGGATCGGGGGTGGGTTGGACGTGGGGCGGGTGGGAGAATGGGAAGCACCGGGCTGGCTGGTGGCTTTGTTGCTCAGCGGCGTGATCAGTGGCTCCAGCTGTGAGGCGGGAGGGGCAGGTGTGGACGTGTCCAAGCGGAGGTAGACGCGGAGACAGCTGGACGTGTGAGCCAATCTGTGTCACTCTTAGAGTCCACCCACGTGCCTCAGGCATAGCAGAAACAGGAAATGGGGGTGCCTTGGGGCTAGAAAGGAGAGCAACTCTGTCAGACGAGCGGGAGCGTTGCCGGCCTCGGCGGCCCCTTGTGATGGGGGCAATGTGGCCAGTCCTGGGGCACACTGAACCCGTGAGGCCCACTCAGGGCACTTACAGAGATGCCCAGACTTTGATACAGCCCCAGCCAGGGACACCCTCAGCTGCACTCCTGCCAGGGGACCAGCCAAGGGAGGGAAGAGAAAGGAGGCTGCCTGTGGCCGTGGCTCTGCCCCACAGCGAGGTCTGCAGCCTGGCCCAGCCTCCCTGTCGTGCTCTGCTTGTCCTCTGTTGCTGGGTCTCTACACACATGTTCCTGTCCCTTCCCTGGGTCCGACTTACTTCCCCAGCCAGACTGTGAGCTTGGGGCAAGCAGGGCAAGACTTTTCTCCCTGTCCCCCACATGGAGGGGCCTCTCTTGGGCATTGACACAGGCTGACCTCCTGGGGACACGGAGGAGACATTGGGCCCTCTGAGGCTGCTGCCCCAAGACCTAGGGAAGCAGAGCCCAGCTGGGCCCACTCCCAGAGGGCCCTTCTCCCCACAGCGAGGATCTGCGCTGCTCTCCGCAGCTCTTTCCAGACTGGGGGCCGGGGCCCCGCATTCCTAGCTCCAGCCTCCTTCCAAGGCCGTGTGGGCTCCTTCCAGACCTGCGTCCCGAGGAGGGCGCCGTGCTGCTGCGCACTGCCCTGGGCCTGCTCGCGAGTGGCCGTTCGCCGGGTGGCTGTGTGGGGCGTGGCTGCGGGCTGGGGTCCCTTGCCGGGGACAGGGTGAAGAGATGGGAGGCGGGCCGTGCTCTGAGAAACCTGGCGAGCCTGGCCCTCCAGAGGGTTTCTGGTGGTTTATTCTGTCAAGGCAGGGGAGAATATATTTTCTTTAACAATGTTGTCACCTTGACTTAAAACTTTAAATATCCAAACCTGTGGTTTGTGGAACTGTATTTGCCCCTTGTCCTGGACTCTCCAGCACGGGGCGGGCGGCCTCCACAAACCTGCCGCCTAGGGCGTCGGGGAGACCGCCCTGCCCACCCCCACCCTCCCGAACACCGTCTGCCCACCAGTGCCTGGGCTTCCAGGCCACCGTCCTGCCCGTGGCGTCTTTAGTCAGTCAGGCTATTGCTGGAACATAAATGCCGCAGACCGGGCGGCTTGAACGGCAAACGTTCACGTCTCATGGCTCTGGAGGCTGAAAGCCCGAGACGGGGCGCCAGCACGGCTGGTCCCGGGAGGACTCTTGTCCTCGCCGCAGACGGCCGCCTTCTCCCGCGTCCTCACGTGGCAGGTAGGCGCCAGCCCTCTCTGGCCTCTTCTTATAAGGGCACTAATCCCATTCATGAGGTTTCTAATCTCATGACCTAATCACCCCGAGAGGCTCCATCTCCAAATAGCATCACGTTTGGGATCAGGCTTCAACGTGCGACGTGGGGAGGGGCACGCACGCGCAGTCCATAGCAGTCGGACATGAAGGGCTCGCTGATAACCACCCTGCCGCGTGTATGTCTTAGGGCCCAGAGCACTTCCCTAGCCAGCAACGCTGGGAAATGGGGGGCAAATGTCTAGCTCATCTGCGCTTGGGGGGCTGAGGTGGGGCAGGGGAGGCAGGCAGGTGCTGGGGTGGCCATCTCTGAGATCGTGGTTGGTGCCATGTGACAGCCTCCCCAACGCCCCAGGGCAGGGGAGCTGGTGGCATCCTAGTCATCCAAGACTTAGAAAGGTGAGGGGCTTGCCCAAGGTCATAGAGATGTGTGCACCTAAGCGTTAAAGAGGCAGAAGTGGGATCTTCCCCCAGAGCCAGCACTGCGGACTGTTGCCCAGGGACCTGCAGGGGAGCGTGGGGAGAGGCTGGGGGGAGGCTCACGGCTCAGAGGCCAGGCCCCGCAGCACAGCCAGCAGCGGAGGGATGGGCCGGAGGCACCAGCTTCATGCCCGGGTCTGCTCTGCGTCCTAGACACAGGCCCCAGCCCGTCACAGACCCACCTGCCTGGCCCCACTGCCCACCTTTCCTTCCAGGCCAGCGCACACGCTGAGGTGTGGTGGCTCGGCCCGAGCTGGCGTCTGAGCCCTGGCGGTGCTGGGCTGCGGGCACGCAGCGTCACACCGTGCACATGGCGGCAAGACGTGGGGTGCAGCTGGCTGTGTGAACCTGGCACGTCATTTGGCCCCTTTGGGTTTGGGTTGTTTTACCCACAAAGTGGAGCTACTGAAACCCCCCCACCCCCCGGGCAGTCTAATAATCCCGGATGGTGGCTACAGGCCTCCGATCTCGCAGACCTGGGCCCGGAATCTGGCTCTTCCACTGCCACCCGATCTGGGCAGGTTCCTGTGCTTCTCTGAGCCTTGGTTTAAAATAGGTTAACAATAGCTTCTGCAGAGGGTTTTTGTGAGTTTAAACGAGGTGATGACTGTGGACTCTTGTGCCCATGCTCAGGTGTGGCACTGTTGTCCCCTCTGTCATCGGGGCCGTGGGGAAATGACGGGACAAGCTGGAGCTGCCAGACTCTGTGAACCTTTCAGAAGACCCCAGAGCCTTCCAGCTGGAGCGGCCAGTCGTGGCCTCTGTGGGGCCACAGGTGGGCCTGGCTCTGGGCTTCATGAGCTGTGGATAAAAGTATTCATTTTGGTGTTTCCAAAACCTAGACTGAGGCTAAGCCCTCATTTCAGGGGGACACTGAAGCCTTAGTATCAGAATATCCTGCCACGGCGACAGGGCTATAGCCAAAAAACCACTAGACGGGGCAGAAATATCTAGGGTCTGTCTCTCTGGGCTTCAGTTTCCCCATGTGAAACGGGCTTGAGTAAGTGTCTGACAAGTTCATAATTTTGACGCTAAGCCCCTCTCCAGGGGGTGCCTTGGGAACGGTGTGGAGGGTCAGAACTGGGGGCGGGTCCCTGGGGACAGAGCTGCCAGTCTCCCAGGCCAGAGGCACGGCTGGAACGTCCAGAGACGTCCTCCCGACTTGCCTCCACCTCTGCGTCCCCTGCTGCCCTGTCGCCACGGGGACCCTGAGTGGCAGCTTTGAGAGGAGTGGGTGGACGGGGTGCCGGTTGTGCATGCCTGGCCCTGCCTGGCCGCACTGGGAGCCTCAGGAGTGGAGATGGCCGGTGGCAGTGGGCTGGTTGAGGACAGCTGGTAAAGGACAGCATTACTACTAATGCGTATTAACTAATCATGAGCATTAGTTATTAATAACTACTTATCAATTAATAATGGTTTGCAATTTACTGAACATGTCTATACTCATTACTAAGCACTTTATATGTATAATTTAATCCTTTTGACAATCCATTCAGATAGGAATTTTTATCACCATTTTCCAGATGAGAAAACATGATCAGAGAGGTTCAAGGTCACACAGCTAGGAACTGGGCAGGAACGGGGCCTGGATCAAGGTTTATCTGAACTTGGAGCCTGTGGGCCTGTGCTGCTCCCTCTGCAGGTCCATGCTGCCCCGGGTATGTCCTGAGAGTCTAGTGACAGATTTAGGGACACATCAGGCCCCTGGCATGACTGCAGACCACAGTTCCCCGAGGAGCCTCAGGCTGTCTGGCTTTTCTCCCTGTTGTCCTTGTGCCCCAGACGAGCTGATGACGTGGCTTCTCTGCCCACTGCTGGGCTGCACGGGGCCCAGGTGTCCTCCTTCCGCGAGTCCCGGATGGCTGGACCTTCGAAGGAGGCCCACGCCTGCACAGGAGCCGGGGCATCCCCCCGAGCTCCAGCGCCTGCAGCCTGCGCCTTTGGGGGCCTGCACCCATGCCGCCCGCCCCGCCCTGCCGGGCCTCGCTTGCGGGAGGGCATCCCCACAGCGCCCAGAGCAGTGCCGGCCGCAGCCGCAGCGTGGCCTCGGGGCCACTCACCTGTCTGGGCCAATTCCCCGCTTCTGCCGGCAGATCTTCCACATGACCTACGACCTGGCGAGCGCGGTGGTGCGCATCGTGAACCTCATCGGCATGATGCTGCTGCTGTGCCACTGGGACGGCTGCCTGCAGTTCCTGGTGCCCATGCTGCAGGACTTCCCCGACGACTGCTGGGTGTCCATCAACCACATGGTGGTGAGCGCAGCCCCCTGTGGGCGTCGGTCGGCTGTCTAGAGGCAGCAGGGTAGGGGCGAGGAGGCCTGAATGGCAGAGCAGATCCACAACTTGGAGCTCCCGAGTTCTAGAAGCTGGGGCCCTGCGGTGCCAGCCCGGCGCTGAAGGGCACGCAGCTGCGCGGTCCAGGAATCCCCTTGCAGGCTCTGGGTGTGCTCTTCCCGCCCCTCCACGGCCTCCACTGCAGCGGGAGCCTCAGTGTTGGCCTGAATTTTCCTAGGGCAGCTAAGACCGAGCAACCTGGGGTCGTGCCCGGTGTGGCGAAGCTGGGCTGGCCTGCCCTCCCACCTCTCCCCAGAGGCAGAGCCCTTGAAAGCTGAGCCTGCGAGTGCAGAAGCCCGTGGGCCAGTTTGCAGCACACGCAGACTCAGGTCGCGCCTGGCCACGTTCTGCCCCTCAACAGACACACCCCGGTCACGGGCGGAGTCCTGAGCGGGAGGACGGGCGGGGGCAGCCTCCCACCCCTCCTAGCCTGTGAGTAGGTGGGAGAAGTCGGACTTGAGGCCTAGGAAGCTGTAGGGCAGAGTCTCCACAACCCCTGTGGACCGGGGGCTCCAGCAGGGCGGAGGACCCCCTGGCCCCGTGAGCCTTTCTCTGGCTCCCCCTTTCTCCCTCCCCGTCAGTTTGGTTTGCTCTGACGGCAAGTCAGGGTCCCAGGGGAGGGAAAACTAGCTTTGAAAGAGGCCAGAGAGACCCGGAGGCATCTTTCAGCATCAGACAGGCCTTTACAAAACAGCCCTTTGATGAGCTAAGTATAAACGAGTCGGCCACATGGACTCCATCTCCGCCCCAGAGGCTCACGGTAAAGCGGCGCTCTGACTGGAGCAGCTGGGTGCTGCCCTGTGCCCCAAGGCCGGGAGCCCAGGCCCCGCTGACCCCCCCCCCCCAGTCTGGACGGAACCACCAGACCTGAGGAACTAGCTCAGCTCCGCCCAAGACCTCTGGGCACCTTAAACGTGGCGCGAAGCTCCAGGCTCGGGCGCCTTCCTCCTGGTGCCGGGCGCAGCCTGGCGCCTGCAGCAGCGCTCAGGGCTCCGGGCAGGGCTCTGTGGGGCTCGGCGCTCCTGCCAACGCGTTCCCTGCGGGCAGAGGCGCTGGGGCAGTGTCCTCTGTGCGTGAGGGTGACGACCCCACATGTGCACTAAATGTAAGAGACGGCCCGTCTGAGCCCAGCGTCCCCGCACTGAACCTTCCTGGAGGCACTGGCTGGCTTCGGGGATAAAAATAGCCCAGAGCTTCACTCCCGGCCTCCCTCCTCCCATCCTCCCACCGTGTGTTCCAGAGAGTCCAGCTTTGGGGGTGGTGGGAGGAGAACTGGGAGGTCCACGCGGGAGGTGAGCTAGCTGGCAGCTTTAACTTCTGCTCACCCAAAATGAGGACAGTGTTTTTGGCTCAGTCTGCCGGAGCTTGTTCCCCCAGGGGAAGAATATCTGGTTTGATAATTGAGGTCAGTGGGGAAATGGGCTCCACTTGGTGCTGTTTAGGGGTGGGGGTGGCGCTGTTCCAGCACAGGAGGGCCAGCAGGGTGCTCGGCCTCAGGCAGGCTCCTCTCCCTTTGCCCCACTGCAGGATGTGCCCAGGTAGTTTGCTGTCCCCACAGGTTGCATTGTGGGCCTCGCTGCCCCCCACTCGAGGCTTTCAGCCAAACAGAAGGCTGGGGGCCCTGGGCTCAGCGGCTGGGGAGAGTTAGGTTGACGGGAGAGGTGGAAGGGACTTGTCTAGGTGCAGTGAGAAGGGCCTCCCCTCCGGTCGGCCCAGGCGCTTGCATTGTGCCCACCGTCTGTCTGTCCACAGAACAGCTCCTGGGGCAAGCAGTACTCCTACGCCCTGTTCAAGGCCATGAGCCACATGCTGTGCATCGGGTACGGGCGGCAGGCGCCCGTGGGCATGTCCGACGTGTGGCTCACCATGCTCAGCATGATCGTTGGCGCCACCTGCTACGCCATGTTCATCGGCCACGCCACCGCCCTCATCCAGTCTCTGGACTCCTCCCGGCGCCAGTACCAGGAAAAGGTAGGTCGGGGAGCCGTGGGCCCCCCAGGGCTCTCTCAGGAGGACCGTGCATTGGTCCTTCCCAAGAGGGAGCTCGGGCTGCTGGCCAGAGGGTCCCCACCAGGCCCCCAAGCGTCCAGGCCTCTGATCAGGACTCCCAGAGTGAGGGCAGAGGAGGCAGCAGGGGACACCTCTTAGAGCAGAACTGCTTCAACTCCCTGGCTTCGAACCTATAAACGTCTTTTATCTGTGCCCACCCTGTGCCTATTCCTCCCTCCTGGTGTCACGGGGCCTGTCTCTCCTGACTGAGGCTGCTCAGGAGGGACGGTGCCTGAAACGTGCCCTCCGTGTTGCTGAATCCAGCAAGTCCTTCTGGGTCCTCGTCTTGCTGGCCCGTGGGCACTTGGCTCCTCACTGGCTCCATGCCCGCACACCCTCGGCTCTCCCCGCACGCCGTGGCCGGGCCTTGCGCTCTCCTTTGCTGCCTTCTCTTCCCAGTCCTCACATGCCGGGGGCCCTAGTGGCTCAGGCCAGGCTCCCTGACTCTCCGTCTGCCTGGTCTTCCAGCCCGTGCTCTGTACCACCCGTGCACGGCAGCCCCTCACCCCCTGCTCCAGACGGCCTGTCTGCTGTCTCCCTGGACGCTGCAACAGCCTCATGTCCAAAGTGAGGACAGTCTGCCCTGCCCTGTCCACCCTCGGCCTCCATTCTCCCCTGTCCCGTTAGGGACACCAGTGGCCCAGATGCCCAGGCCAGAGAGCAAGAGCCATCCTGACCTCCACCATCATCAGCGCCTTCCTCAAAACAGCAGCGCCCTCTCTTCACACCAGCTGGCCTCTGTCCACCCGACACGCCTGCTCCCCTGTGCCCCGTCACAGCGGCGAGGGCTGCGGCTGGCTCTGTGCACACGGGCGTGTCACTCCGAAGTGTTGGCCCCGCTTCCTCGTCTGCAGCGTGGGCATGACAGGCGGCGTCACGCCACGGGCCTGTGAGCACCGAGCGATGCGGCCACAGGCTCGGCGCTGTGCCAGCGGTTATGGCTAAGCGGGCGCCACCCGCCACGTCCTCCCGTGCCTCACACGGCCGGCGAGGGGCGTTTGCAAACACGTACAACCGATCCTGCCGCTCCTCCCCTAAGACTCTCCAGAGACCTCGCGTTGCTGCTGAGACACAGACTAGCTCCGAGCTTGTGTCCGCGGGCTGGCAGCGCAGGCGGCAGTCTGGGCCCTGCCCTCGCACCTGAGCTCACGCCCGGCCCTGCCGCCCGGCCTGGACAGCGCCCTCCCGCGCCTCCCCGGCGTCATCTCAGCCCACACTTCGCCTCCCAGGGAGCTTCTAGGACCCAGCCGCCCTTGCCGTGTGAGCCCACGGCACCCACCCATCCTCCTTCCCCACACGCTGCGCTCCTGTGGCTTTCAGTTAATCGCATGTAGCGGTTTAACGTCCGTCTGCCCTGTCCAGCCCGTGGCCCCTGGGGACGGGCCCAGGCCGTCGCTCCCCACCGTGTTCCCAGTGTCCGGCACACAGTAGGGTCAGCGTTTATGGGCTCACTGCCTGCCTGCGCTGGCAGGGCGACTGACAGATGGCAGCCACCCAGGTCCGTGACGCCGGGAGGAGAGCGCGGGGGCCTGTGGGCCGGGCCGGGGGGTGGGAGAGCTCCGCTGGGGAGGTGGAGGAAGGAGAGGGGAGTAGAGTTCTAGGCCAGGCTTCACGAGGAGCGGGTGTGCAGAGGGCCTCAGCCCTGTCAGAGCAGGGCCCGCTGGGAGCGCGCAGGCCCTGCAGCGGAGGGACGGGTCAGGTTAGAAAGGTCAGGACTTAACCCAGGCCCAGGTGAGGGTCAGTGTGTGTGACCAGTGCTGGGGCCCAGTCTGTGACCAGAGTCAGCGCTCAGCGTGTGGCCAGAGGGGTCAGCACTCGGTGTGTGACCAGCATGAGGGCTCAGCGTGTGGCCAGAGGGGTCAGCACTCGGTGTGTGACCAGCATGAGGGCTCAGCGTGTGGCCAGAGGGGTCAGCACTTGGTGTGTGACCAGCATGAGGGCTCAGCGTGTGGCCAGAGGGGTCAGCACTCGGTGTGTGACCAGCATGAGGGCTCAGCGTGTGGCCAGAGGGGTCAGCACTCGGTGTGTGACCAGCATGAGGGCTCAGCGTGTGGGCAGGGCTGGGGCTCAGTCTGAGGCCAGGTTGGGTTTAGTCTGGGACCAGGATCAGGGATTAGTTTAGAAAAAGTATCTGGTTTATTTTAGGGCCAGAGTCAAGGTGCTTGTGACCTCCCATTTGAGAGTTTAGATTTTATCCTTTGGCTGGTGGCTCCCTAAGCTGTTCCTGTTCACCCATAGACCTCCCTTAGACGTCTTACCTCCCCTCTGTCCCCACTGCCTTCTCTCCCCTCGGCCACTTCAACAACACTTTAACTCCTGCCTGTGTACAGACTCTGCCTGCCCACCCCTGCCTGTTCTCAGTGTGGGGGAATTCTCTAGAACACAGTTCTGGCTGTTCTTGGCCAGGAAGTCGCTGTCCTCTGGGGCTTTGCATAACTTGAGTGAAACAGGCCAGGTTGGCTGGAAGAACTTTAGGAGCCTTCATGCCCCAGGCCTCGGTCGCCCACTGGCATCTCTCTGCAGCAGCCCCGTGTCCCCTCTTGGAGCACTGCCGTTTAAGAGCCGGCCTGCCTCTCGCCGCTCCCAGGGCTGCAGGGCCTCCCCTACTTCCCACCTGGGAAGAGTCTGTCATTGCCTTGTCATCCCTCCTGTCCCGAGCCCTGCTCTTGGGATCCCACGGTCACCCACAATCCAGAGGATCAGAGCTGTGTCCACCCCTCACTGCCAGGATGGGCAGGATTGTTTCTTAGTGGATTTGAGCCTCAAGGACTTAGGTTCACAAATCTCTAGTACCCGAACCTCTATTTGAAGGGCCCTTCACGTAGGTCTGCCTTGTCTTTGCCTTGGGCTGGGGCTAGTTGCTCTCAACAAAAGACTCGGGAGCTCCGCTGAGCCTTGGTTGGGTGCGTGTGGTGGCATGGGCCAGGCACCCTTGGTGCCGCCTCCAGTCCTTCCCACCCACTGCCGCCCCATCCTGCTGGTGTGCCAGTCTGTCACTACTGGTAGGATACAGCTCCAAACCCCCAGAGTCAGTGAGGCCTTCTGTCCCCAGCGTGACAGAGAGAGAACAGACGTCCAGAGGAGGCCTGATGGACCTCCTGGCCTGCCTGTTGTCACCCACTCATCCCATAGTATTTACTGAACACAGTGAGGACCAGACACTGATGGGCCCCTCCTCCATTCCAGGCAGCTGGGAGCCAGGACCATTTTGGGGGCTCAGTGGGATCATACCCACACTGAGGAGCTCAGATGTCAAGGGCCAGGGTTGGCCAAGAAAGCCTGTAGGGGCAGTGGCTGGCTCTGGCACCAGCAGGGCCAGGGTGGGGTGGTGACTGACTGACAGCGCCTCCCTCTCTCCCGGGCCCCAGTACAAGCAGGTGGAGCAGTACATGTCCTTCCACAAGCTCCCGCCCGACACCCGGCAGCGCATCCACGACTACTACGAGCACCGCTACCAGGGCAAGATGTTCGACGAGGAGAGCATCCTCGGCGAGCTGAGCGAGCCGCTGCGGGAGGTGAGCTTGGCAGGCTGCGTGGGCTGGGGGGCCCGGCCTTCCTGGCAGCCGGTTCCCCTCACCTCCTCCTTCCTGTTCCACCCCACCCACCCGGGAGCAGGAGATCATCAACTTTAACTGCCGGAAGCTGGTGGCCTCCATGCCACTGTTTGCCAACGCGGACCCCAACTTTGTGACGTCCATGCTGACCAAGCTGCGCTTTGAGGTCTTCCAGCCCGGGGACTACATCATCCGGGAAGGCACCATTGGCAAGAAGATGTACTTCATCCAGCACGGCGTGGTCAGCGTGCTCACCAAGGGCAACAAGGAGACCAAGCTGGCTGATGGCTCCTACTTTGGAGGTGAGGTGGCCACGGGGTCCTGGTGACAGGAGACCACTGACGGGGAACGGGCTGGGGAGACACCCAAGAGGACGAGGCACTGAGGGCCCTTCACGGCCACAGCCTGGAGGTGGGTGTCCGTGTGCCCAGGGTAGGGGTGTCTTAGTCCGTGTGGGCTACTGTGACAAAGTACCCTGGACTGGTGGCTTAGAAACAACGGCAGTGTGTTTCCCACGCCTGGAGGCTGGAAGGCTGTGATCAGGCGCCAGCGCGTCAGGTTCTGGTGAGGGGTCAGGCTCTCTCTTCCGCGACGCAGACCACCCCTTCTCCCCGAGTCTCACGTGCAGAAAGAGAGGGAGTGAGCTCTCGGGCCTTTTCTTATAGGCCACCAATTCCAGCCGCGAGGGCTCCATCCCCACGACCTAAGCACTTCCCTAAGTCCCACCCCAGTGCCGTCACCCTGGGATTAGGGGTTCAGCATGGGTTTGGGGGGCACATTCGGTCCATCGCAGAGGCCATGGTCCCAGAGCAGACGGTCGGTGCCCAGGTGGTGGGGCAGGGTGGCATCCAGCGCAGTCAACCTGTGGGGGCCGCCTCCTGGGCCCGCCAGGGCTTCTGTGCCCGCAGTGGGGCCCATGGGCAGGGCGGGCAGCCCGGCGCCCTGGACGGCTGCGCAGCCTCACCCTGGGCCCTCTGTCCCGGCAGAGATCTGCCTGCTGACCCGGGGCCGGCGCACGGCCAGCGTCAGGGCCGACACCTACTGCCGCCTCTACTCGCTGAGCGTGGACAACTTCAACGAGGTGCTGGAGGAGTACCCCATGATGCGGCGGGCCTTCGAGACCGTGGCGCTGGACCGCCTGGACCGCATCGGTGAGGGGATGGGCGGGAGCTGGGGTTCCTGAGCAGCGAGCCAGGCCTGCCCCTCCCCGTCTCCTCCCCGCCCCGCCCTGAGCGCCTGTCCTTGTTCCCTGGTGCAGGCAAGAAGAACTCCATCCTCCTGCACAAAGTGCAGCATGACCTCAACTCCGGCGTGTTCAACTACCAGGAGAACGAGATCATCCAGCAGATCGTGCAGCACGACCGGGAGATGGCCCACTGTGCCCACCGCGTCCAGGCCGCGGCCTCGGCCACCCCGGCCCCCACGCCCGTCATCTGGACACCGCTGATCCAGGCACCCCTGCAAGCTGCCGCTGCCACCACGTCCGTGGCCATAGCCCTCACCCACCACCCCCGCCTGCCCACCGCCATCTTCCGCCCGCCCCCAGGACCCGCGCTGGGCAACCTGGGGGCCGGGCAAACGCCCAGGCACCTGAAGCGCCTGCAGTCCCTGATCCCCTCCGCGCTGGGCTCCGCCTCGCCCGCCAGCAGCCCCTCCCAGGTGGACACGCCGTCCTCATCTTCCTTCCACATCCAGCAGCTGGCCGGCTTCTCCGCGCCCGCTGGACTGAGCCCCCTCCTGCCCTCGTCCAGCTCCTCCCCGCCGCCAGGGGCCTGCGGCTCCCCGCCGGCTCCCACGCCCCCCGCTGCCACGGCTGCCGCCACCACAGCTGGGTTTGGCCACTTCCACAAGGCGCTGGGCGGCTCTCTGTCCTCTTCCGATTCTCCGCTGCTCACCCCACTGCAGCCAGGTGCCCGCTCCCCACAGGCCGCCCAGCCGCCCCCGCTGCCAGGGGCCCGCGGAGGCCTGGGGCTCCTGGAGCACTTCCTGCCGCCCCCGCCCTCGTGCAGGTCCCCGTCGTCCAGCCCTGGGCAGCTGGGCCAGCCTCCCGGGGAGCTGTCCCCAGGCCTGGCCGCCGGCCCAGCATGTACGCCAGAGACACCCCCTCGGCAGCCCGAGCGGCAGTCCCTCGTGGCAGGGGCCTCTGGGGGGGCATCCCCTGGAGCCTTTCCCCCCCGGGGAGGTGTCAGCCCGCCGGGCCACAGCCCAGGCCCCCCAAGAACTTTCCCCAGTGCCCCACCCCGGGCCTCTGGCTCCCACAGCTCCCTGCTCCTGCCGCCCGCGTCCAGCCCCCCACCGCCCCAGGTCCCCCAGCGCCGGGGCACACCCCCCCTCACCCCAGGCCGCCTAACCCAGGACCTCAAGCTCATCTCAGCCTCTCAGCCGGCCCTGCCCCAGGACGGGGTGCAGACTCTCCGCAGAGCCTCTCCACACTCCTCCGGGGAGTCCGTGGCTGCCTTCCCGCTCCTGCCCAGGGCGGGGGGCAGCAGCGCGGGCAGTGGGGGCCTCGGGCCCCCCGGGAGGCCCTATGGTGCCGTCCCAGGCCAGCACGTCACTCTGCCTCGGAAGACATCCTCAGGTTCTTTGCCACCCCCTCTTTCTTTGTTTGGGGCAAAAGCCACCTCTTCTGGGGGGCCCCCTCTGACTGCTGCACCCCAGAGGGAACCTGGGGCCAGGTCCGAGCCGGCGCGCTCCAAACTGCCGTCCAACCTGTGAGCGGGGTCCCCTCCCCTTCGCACCCCTCCTCCCTCCCTGCCTCCTTCAGGGTTAACTGTGATTAGGAGATACACCAATAACAATAATAATCGTTAAAAACCCACACACACCAGAAAAACAAAAGACAGCAGAAAATAACCAGGTATTCTTAGAGCTATAGATTTTTGGTCACTCGCTTTTATAGACTATTTTAATACTCAGCACTAGAGGGAGGGAGGGCAAGGGAGGGGAAAAGGCAGGGCCAGGCGGTGGGGTCTCCGGCTGGGCAGGTGGGGGTGATGGCGTTCGGGGTTCCTTAGAGCAGACATGTCAACTGTATGTGTTTAGAGCAGCAGCTGCCATCAGCCCCTTGCTGTGAACTTGGAGCCCCACTCCGCCGGGGTCATCTTGCCCCCAGGCAGGGGCTGCCCTGGGCTGTTCCCGGGAGCCTCAGACGCCCAGTCCTGGGGAGAGCCGGGCCAGGGCCGCGGGCCTTGCGTGTTTTCTACTGTAAACGTAGCGAGATATGTATATGACTATGTATCTGTATATGTATGTAAGATGTGTATATGCATAGCTATGTAGCGCTCTGCAGAGCCATGTAGATAGCTGCTCACATGTGCACACACGTGTGTGCAATCTAGTTTAACCCCATGTTGTCAGGACACCCAGGCCACCTTACATCCGGCAACCCGCCCCGCCCGCAGGCTGGGCACCGCGGCATGGGGAAGCGCTCTCTCTGGGCCTTTCCTCCTCGGGAGAGGACCCACAGGACCTTGCAGCAGGCCCCTCTGTCCCCATCGCTTGTCTCAAATCTGGGCGCAGCCTGACCTCTCACCACGTGGTAGCAGAAGACTCGCTGCTGGGGCCTCAGCACAGCCCGTCACCTGTGCGGCCCTCACTCTCCACCCGTGAGGGGCAGGCCGGGCCTCTGCTCGTTGAGTCTGCTCTGTGCCAAGCACTGGTTCGCACTTTACACACATTAACCCCTTCGGTTTCACAAAGACTGTGAGGCAGGTACCTTGGTTCTCCCCATTTCACAGATGAGGAAACTGAGTTTTGGGTAATTTTCCCAGAACCCTGTAACTGGGAGTGGCAGAGCGGGGGCTGGCCTGAGATTTGAGTCCATGCCTGTCTGAGGCCCACGCCTGTGTTCCTTGCGTCAGAAAGCTGTTTGAGAGGGGCTGAGACAGATGGTCCCCAAGGGTGGTGCAGGGGAAACAGACCAGATTTGAGTTCAAATCCCAGCCCTGCCACGCTCAGCTGTGTGGCCTCGGGCGAGTTACCTGACCTTTCTAAGCATGTCACCTCATTTGTAGATGGGAATGACTGTGTGAGTGCCTCACAAGGACCCGTGAGGACCAGGTGGGAAGTGGCACGTGTGGCCGCCCAGCCCAGCGCCCGGCACACACCACAGCAGGTGCTCAATAAACCACGTCTCTTCCGCCCGCCCGCCCGCGCCGCGGCTCCGGCAGCTGGCAGGAGCGCGGGGAGCTGTGGCTGAGGGCTCCAAGACCCAAATCTCAGGACTCGGGAGGTGGCTGGCCTCCCCAAGGGCCCGAGGAAGGAGTGTGGCCAGCGGTGGGCTTGAGCCGGGCCTTGATGTGGGGGCGTCTGGGGGTGGTGGTGGACGCAGAGCTGTGCCGTCTCGGCCTTGGGGGAGGCCCGAGGCCTGGCGACAGGGAAGGGGGCAGTCCGGGCTTGGTTCTGGGGCAACCGGGAGCTGTGAGCAGGCCCCGGTGGGGCCAGCGGGGAAGCAGCTCCGGTGGCTCCTGAGCCGGCCCTCCTCCCTACAGAGCCAGGGCAGGAGCAGGTGTGGCTGCAGCCCCGGAATAGGAATGAGGAGGAGGGCTGGTCCCGCCTTGTGCTCCCGGAACCTTCTGTGCTCCAAGCCAGAGTGTTGGCAAGAGCAGCTTTTGCTCTGAGCTGTCCTGGGATGGGGCAGGCCGCTGTGCCCACGGGTGGGCCTCGGGGAGCGCGAGGCAGTAATCCAGGAGAGAAGGGGGGAAGGGTCCCGGGTCCCAGGTAGAGACCGGCAGCCGCCTGGCCCTGTTCTCTACTGAGCTGGGGAAGGCCCCTGGGGCCCAGGGATCTCAGAGCGGGAAGGATTTAAACAGCCTCGACCCGAGTTCTGCGCACACCCCGCCCTGCGAGGAAGGCAGCTGCGGGGAGCTCCATCCACACCCACAGTCTGGTCCCGGAGGCAGCGGGAGTGAGGCAGAGGGTCCAGGGGCTTGAGGAGCGGGGAGCATCCTTGCTGCCAGGGTCTGGCCTAGCCACCCTCTTGCTACCTACACACGTGTGTTTTATAAGAGCTCGGACCCAGCCCGGCCACCCCGCAGAGACTGGAGGAGCCAGGGCCCGTCAGTGGGCACTCCCATCCCCAGTCTCCCACAAGCAATTTTCAAATCTTCCACTTTTAAAACAGAAAACGGTAAATGCGCCGTGTTGTATATTTTATTTAAATAAAAAAATTCCAGCAGATGCCGCCTTCTTCTAGGGGCCAGGGAGGCGGAGGGGGCAAAGGCCCTGGGCACAGGTGCGCACGTGCTGATGGGCTGGCGTGAGTCGAGAGTCGCGAGTCGGTCTGGAGGGGCAGTGTGTGTCTTTTGTCTGCTCGTGGAGGGCAAAGGCAGAGGTGGGGGAGGTGTGAGACCCTGACTCTGATCCCTCCTGCCCCGGCTGCCAAGTTCCACGTCCCTGGGACACACTCCCTGGTGCTCCTTGAAGGAGGAGGGGGTAGTGAATGTGCACCCAAACTCCATCCAGCTAGATCCCCAAGAGGAAGGTGCCATCTTAGTCTGATCAGGGGAGCCCTCAGAAGCTGGGGACAAATGGTGACCAGGCTGGGGGAGGAGTCAGGTGGGTGGCTGAGGAGGGGGCCTTGCTGGGTCAGGAAGCCGAGGGTCTCGCTGGAGGGGACAGGCACCGACTCCCCACTGCAGCACGGTGGGGGTCTAACCTGGCCCCCGGATGGCCCCTCTGCCACCCCTGGCTGCAGAGGGTCCCTGCAGACTCTGGGACCTTGACGGGTCCTCAGAGGTCCCCTCCTGGGCCAGCGACGGGCGGCTGGGAAAGCGGAGTCCTCGTGGCTTCCGGCAGCTCGGGGAGTGCCGCAGAGGGGAAAATCCTCGGAAAAGGCCAGGGAACCCGTTGGCCGTTCCCCATCACTGCCTGCCAGTGGATGCTGTTTCCATGGTAACTGGCCTGGGAGTCCTGTTGCTAAGGAGGCAGCTCGGCAGGCTCGGGCATCCCCATGACAACTGCCCCCTGCGGCCAGGCGGTGGTGCTTCCTCTGGACCCTGCGGGGACCCGGGCAGGTGCGGGCTCTGACGGCTGCTCTGTCTGGGACTGCCAGGCGGCCCTGGGGGCTGTGGGAGCCTTTGCGACAGACGACAGAGCCCGGGCAGACCTCAAGGGGGTAGCACAACCAGTCACTCTCTTCTGTGTTCCCTGACGCTGAAAGGACACTTAGTAAGTGCCACTGTGTACTGGGCCCTGGATGCTTTCTTGTTATGTCCTCTGCCTAGCCACCCTAGGAGGTAAAGTTAGCTTCAATGCCCAGCCAGGGGCACTGGGGTCAGAGGGCAGGAAGTCGCCGGCCCAGGCAGCTAGTGTGGAAGGAGCCTGGACGCACACCACGTCCTGGGGACTCAACCCTGCCCCTGCCCCTCGGTGGCGCAGCAAGGGGGTGGTAGGAGCAGGCTGTCCCCTGTGCAGGCAGTAAAGGGTGCATTGTCTGTGGAAGATTCAAGAACAACAATAAAAATGGCTAGATGTCAGTTCCTTTCTCTCATCGCCACGCACCGGCAATTCTGCGGTGTCAGCACCAGGACACCCGCCCGCCAGGGCAGACGGCTCCTCCCAGCCCCGCCTGGGACTGCCACCACCGCTCTCTGCTTCCGCCCCAGGGACACCTGCTGAAATACGGCAGCCAGCACCATGGGAACGCCTTGAAGGCACCCTTTCTGCCTCAGTGGGCCTGAAGCAGGTGGGGTTTCTGAGAGGAAGTTTTAAAGGGATTTAATAAAATCCCTCCCTCGTCTCTGTGTCCCTTCCCTGATGCTACTTCCCGGCCCTCTCCTCCTGTCCCTCCCTCAGAGTCTGGCCGCGCCTCTGCTCCACTGACGCCCTGCCAGGCTCACGGGCCACTCCCCCGCCTTGTCCTGCTGCCTCTCTGCAGCATGTCGCCCGCGCCGGCCTGCTCAGCTTCTGCACCCGCTGCTCCCGCCCGCTGCCCTGTTCAGCCCCAGCTTTGCCGCTCCTCTCTCCCCAGCGCTCCGGCCTCCGCCCCGTCTTCTCGCCCCACACACGTCCTGTGGGTCGCGCTACCCGGGCCATGGCTTCCCCACCTGGGGCAGGCGAAAGCCTCCCAGGTGCCCCCTCACTTCAGGCCCCCACACCCCGTTTCCGTCCTCCTTGGCTGCCCACAGCCCAGTCCCCCCAGCGCACCGCAGAGCGCGGCCTCGCCACCCCCACCCCTGCTGGCTTTGACTTTGCTTCTCTCGAGGGTGGAATGTGTCACACAGAAGAAGATATGTCACACAAATAAGATATGAAAAGTCAGGTGAGTGGCCAGGTCCCACTCAGCGTCAGAGCTGGAACGTGAGGACACCTTTGAAGGCATCTGGGCCGCTGCCAACTGCATTCCTCCCCTCCCGCCAAGGAAAACCACGCATCTGAATTTTAACTTTGTCATTACTTTTCATGCTACTTGTACTACAGAAATAAATGTCTCTCAACAATGTAGTCAAGGCCAGGCACAGTGGCTCACGCCTATAATCCCAGCACTTTGGGAGGCTGAGGCTGGAGGATCACTTGAGGCCAGGTCTTCAAGACCAGCCTGGGCAGCATAATGAGACCCCATCTCTACAATTATTTTTTTAAAAAGTTATCTGGGTGCAGTGGCTCATACCTGTGGTCCTAGCTACTTGGGCGGCTGAGGTGGGAGGATCACTTGAGGCCAGGAGTTTAAGGTTGCTGTGAGTTACGATTGTGCTACTGCACCCCAGCCTGGGTGACAGACTGTCTCAAAAACAAAACAAAACAAAAAAAGCCCCCAAAACCAAAAAACCAAAAGACAAAAACCCCCAATGTATGCAGTTGCCTCCCAAGGTGGGGGAG